CGCAGGCCAGGCCGAGGGACCCCACTGGTGCACGAATCCATGCATCAGGCCTCTAGTTGTGACATAGAGGCAAAAACAAAACAAAACACTGCAAGTTCAGAAACTAAGGAGTCCGCAAGAGCTGCAGAGGTCAGGGGGGTGGCGGGGGGACTGGAATGTGGAGGGGAGGGTCTTGGATCCCGCTCCTAAGAAGCCAGGCCTCTTTACTCAGTGGAGAGCCATAAAGACAGGAGAGACGCCGTCGGGTATTGTTAAGCCCATTTGACAAGCTCTGATGTAAAAGTAAGAAACCAAATCAGACAGCTTTAAAGAGCTTTTAGCTCTTCATCAGCATTCATTTAAAAGCCCCACATCAATTGAATTACTAAAAATATATGTAAAATGATAGGAAAAGCAGCAGAGGAACCAGACTCCCATTTTCTGGAGCACAGATGTGCTATGGGCCATCTATTCTCAGAATGTCTCCACCCAACGAGGGCCCTGCTTGACTATTTTAAAAATCAGTTCTAGTGGTGAAGGCCCTGGGGGTGGGGGGGGAGCCAGGCTAGAAGGGGGCAGAAGGGAACATCTGTAATACTTTCAGCAATAAAGATTTAATTTTTAAAATCATTTCTATATTAAAACTTTCCATTTTATCTAAGTATCCCATTTGGTTGTCTGAAAACCCTCTTAAAAAGGAACTTTCTTTTAATCCTCACCTGAGGATATTTTTCCCATTGATTTTTAGAGAGTGAAAGGGAGGGAGGAGAAGGGGGGAGAGAGAAACATCGTTGTGAGACCCGTCAACTGCACAGGCCCGACTGGGGGTGAGGTGTGAACCCACAACCGAGGTCTGTGCCCTTGACCAGGAGTCAAACCTGAGACCCTTTGACCCAAGCAGGCCAATGCTCTAACCACTGAGCAACCGTCCGGGGCAAAAAGTAATTATTTTAATCCTCGCCTGAGGACTTGCTTAGAGAGAGGAAGAGAGAGAGAGAGAGAGAGAGAGAGAGAGAGAGAGAGAGACCAATGTGAGAGAGAAACAGCGATCAGTTGCCTTCCGTATGTGCCCCGACCAGGAATCAAACCGGCAACCTCTTGGTGCACAGGGAGGCACTCAACGAACTGAGCCACTCCATCCCGGCAAAAAAAAAAAAAAAAAAAATTTAAATTGGTAACAGTTTGAGCAAATGGCCTATCAGTTGAAAAGAGAAATTCTCAGTGGTCCTGGAGGCCTCCAGTTTTTCCTGGTTGGAATGGAATTGTCCCAGTCCTTTTCTTACTGCTGTTTATCGGCGAATTGGTGACACCCTGTGCCTTTGTAACTGTGAAGAGCTTTGTAATTATAGCTTTAAATTGCTCCTCAAACAACGCCATGCGCGCGTTTAAGAAGGCGAGGCCGGCCTCACTGCTGCAGAGAAGGGCAGCCAGGCACAGGTGGACACACGCCCCGAGGCATGTGTGTGTCTCGTCCACTGCGGAGTATTCTGTTGGGCTTTGGGGGTGGAATCGTGACTTCCTCCGTGACGTGTGGACATGTCAGCGGTGCGTGCGGGGGAATTAAAGCAGTAAATCTTTCTCTGCCTGCTCCCGGGCAGGCCAGCACAGAGTGGAAAATTAAAGTATTTATTCTTTTTGGCTCCGAGTGCCGACACCATGCTGCACGTCTTCACGACAAGCCCCGTGAACCCCGCAGTCCCTGTCAGTCCGTTTCATCACTCACAATGTCGAGGCTCAGAGAGGGTCAGACTGAGCCGAGGAAAAACTCCAGCACCTCCTTGGTGTTCGCTTGTTTTACCTTTTCCTCTCACCTTAAATTCTTACGGGTACCTGGCCGTCGACGCCTCCTTCAGGGGTTTTTCTGTCTCCCTGCCATTGACCTGCTTAGCGTCAGCCGTGTATTTCTGCTCAGAAGTAACTGGTCCGAGCGCACCATCGGTTTCCCACGTCCGTTCCCTGGCCTGTGTCTGCAGCACGTGTCTGCCTCCGCTGGAATCCTTTTCTCGGTGTCTCCGTATTCTGGCCACGGGATTCATTGAGTGACTCTGCAGCATTTCGGGCTGTGTAGCTTTTACATACCAGCTGGTCAGAGCCGTGCTCATGGGGAGAAGAGGATTTGTTTTTCTGTTTCTGAAAGAACATTCTTTACATTTACACGTGAAAATACACCCCCTGCTCACGCTGGTGTCCCTGTCCATCCGATGGTTGCTCCTTTGAAAGGCACTGTCTTCCCCTGGCTGTTTTGGCTCAATGGATAGAGCATCGGCCTGCGGACTGAAGGGTCCTGGGTTCGATTCTGGTCAAGGGAGCATCCCTCGGTTGCAGGCCTGATCTCCAGCCCTGGTCAGGCACATGCGGGAGGCAGCCAATGGATGTGTTTCTCTGTCTTGCCCTCTCCTCTCCCTTCCACTCTTTCTAAAAATCGGTGGAAAAATATCCTCGGGTGAGGGTTAACAAGGAAGGAAGGGAGGGAGGGAGGGAGGGAGGGAGGCTAATGTCTTTTCCCTCTGGCTGATTCTCTCTTGGCCAGATTTTTAGCATCTTGCCTGCGATGTGCTTAGGTGTGGTTTTCTTTGCATTTATCCTGCCTGGGATTCAGTTCCTTTTGGTAGATTCCTGTTTTCTGTCCAGGCCCACCCACTGGAAGATGGTTTGGAGAATGCCCTCAGAAAACCCCACAGCAACTATGGAGCTCAAGTCATTTTTTTCTTTTCTCTCAAGGATTGTAGACCCTGCCCGTGCCACGCACGCTCATGCTTTCAGATGGCGATCCGCGTGTTTCGCCCACCTTGTATCGCTGTTTTCATCATGGCCAAACTCAGAACTCTCCAGAGCGGATGGCCTCCTGACAGCTTTGGGCACTTGCACTCTGATGCGTGACCGAGATGAATGATTTAATACTGGTTTTCTCTGCTAACAGGTGCCCCTACTGGCTTCCTGCTCCAGCCAGTTCAGAAAGACCAGCAAAGCAGATATTTCATGTGTTTTAACATCTGCACATTTGTGACTTCTCCCCCATATTCTTTTCTAATACTTCCTATGACACAATCAAGGTTTCCCAGAGCAGCATCCAGGTAGAAATAGCAGTTGGTTAAAGCATCGTCCAATATGCCAAGGTTGCGGGTTTGATCTCCGATCAGGGTACATACAAGAATCAACCAATGAATGCATAAATAACTGGAACAACAAATCGGTTTCTCTCTCTCTCACCCTCTCCCTCTCTCCTTCTCCCGCCCTTCCTCTCTCTCTCTAAAATAAGTAAAATTTTAGAAAAAAGAAATAGCCCATTCAAACTGGCACACCGTCCCTGCATGCCATAACTGTTAGTTAACAAACAGTTGGATATTTTTTGTAATTCTCGATTACAGGCTGTGGTTCAGAAACTATTTCATCAGTTCATGGTGCCATTTGGTGACCATGTCTGTCCATGTCATCGGATGGACTCGACTTCCTCCTCTGCCCAGTTCTCTGCCAGTTCATTCAGCTGATAGATGAACTCCCTGCTGTACTCAGGACAGCGCTACACGGGCTAAGGTTGTGCCGAGACTAATTAACGAGACCCCCGTACCCACAGGCACCTACACAAGCCATCCTAAGTCAAGGCAAAATCTGTCACGTTAAAGGCACAAAGAGGCACAGAGTTATTAATCCTGCTCTGATTTGAAGCTCCACGTTCTGTAATTTCCTCTTTTCATTAAGGTAACAGGGTTTGTAGAACACAGCAAGTGAGAACAGAATTTTCTTTCTTAGTTAAAACCATGAAGAATTTTTCAACAAAATAGATTTCACTGCCCCAGCTCCTTATACAGAAGGGTTGTTGTTTTTTGCTTATTTCTTTTTGATCTTTTCTATTTAAACATAAATTGTATATAATTATAATGTGTAGTTTTATAATCTGAATTTTTCACTGCCATACATAATGCGCTATTTGGTTTTTTTGTTTTTGTTTTTGTTTTTTTACTGCAGCACAGCTTTCATCCTCGTGCTATTTGACGCCTCTGCTCATTGGTTCACCAATATTGAACACGTTAGTTTTTGTTGTAGATGGATATTCTTCGTTTTTTCAGTATGAGAAAAAAATGCCACATGGATCACCTTTGATTCAGAAATCCTACCCCTAGAATATTAGTGTGAGTAAAGAATTCAGAGAGAAAAGCAAGTGCTCAGACAACACGAATATTTTAGTGTTTTCTGATACAAGCTGTGGCTCAAAAGCCAACAACTTTTGGTGCCAACAGTGGTCTTACGACAGCACTGATAGCAGGTGCTGTGGCTAAAACGTAACGGCGCATTTAGCAGCTCTACACGACACTTTAAATGTGCTTTGACTTTTATGTGGGCTTTTTCTGGCTATTCGTGAAGTTGAACCATTCTCCCTCTTTCTTCTTGGTATTTAGGGGATCACTTGCATCCCTGGACTTTGGCTTTTAATGCACTATCATCTCTGATGCCGTGTTTCCCAGGGGGTGTGTCGTGAGGGTTCCTGAGATACCTTATGCGAGTGTAACCGGAGCAGGGGCTGACCATAAAAGTGCCAATAAATTATACCTGTCAGACCTTTTCCTTCTCCGCCTCGGGGACATGAAAGTGTGCTTGTTTGTTTTGTTATTGAGGTTACAAAAAACAAATTTTCCTCTCAGGGAATTTGATTTAACTTCAGTGGTTTCAGAGGAACTAAGAACCACTGAAAGGAAAATGAAACTCCGAAGTTTAATTATTGTATATGGTTTTAATTACTAAATCAAGTCTCTGTGTACAAGTCTTTATATACAAAAAGAAAAAAATTTTTTTGAAGTTAATTGTTTCAGTTTCATAAAATAATCTCCAACTCCTTTATGCCTTCAAATATAATACAAAAGCGTTTTTGCTAATATTGATAAATTTGGTTCTTTTTTGTCTTTCAAACAGAAAAATTAATGTTGAAGATAACTGATAAGATTGGTTGAATATTTTCGTTGAAGGCACTTTTCTTCCTGACCTGGAATTTAAAAGTATGTGTTGTTTCTCTTATTTGTCTTCAGGTTAAAAAGGCCTTCTTTGCCTTAGTAGCCAATGGTGTTCGAGCAGCGCCACTGTGGGAAAGTAAGAAACAAAGTTTTGTAGGTAAGCAGTGTGCCCCTCTTACCCCCAGGAAAATATGCAACAAAGCAGAACGCCCAAGGCATTTAATGGGTGCTGATTGGAATTCACTCTAGTAAACATGTTACCAAATTAAAGAACATTTTTGCTTTTACATCCGGATAAGGGAGGGCCGCTGGTAATTCAAAATCACTTCCCTACTTTGATTGAATTTCCTTTGATTCAGCACCTTGTTGTCTCTGGAGGATCTTATGTACCGGTCCCTGTGAGCCCAGGGACCAGAGTGTGACGGGGAGGCTTGGTCAGGCGTCTGTCTGTCTGTCAGCCACCTGTGCTCACGGTTACTCACCCGTGGCCCCTCCAGGGCGAACACCTTTTGACAGGGCAAAGGAAGCATAAAAGTGGTCAATGCCTTCGCTGAATCATGGCTATACTATTAAAACATTGTGTAACTTACGCTATCTAAACTGCAAAAGTCCACATCCTGGGAGCCATGGCAGACCGTGGGTGTCCCCGGCCAGTGGTGTGCGCCGCTCAGCGCTGCTGTGAAATGGTCCGTTTCCTCTTGCAGTCCTGGCGCCTGGCACAGAGTCGTGCCCCCAGAAGTGCCATGTTTCCAGAGCTGCTGGGATGGTTGATCTTATTTTAAAGTATTTAAAATTATTTACATGTAGCTGCAAGTCCTTTGTGATGTTCTGTAACAATCATTCATTTCTCTCTCCTTGACTTGCCAAGTACTGTGATTAATTCCAGTTACTGTCGGGTTCAATTTCAGCTAAATTTGTGTATCTTAGTTTGCTGTAGATAATTAACAGGTTAATAGCTTTAAATAATATATTAAACTGTGCTTGAGACCTGTACTTTAGAAGCTGTTCCAGTAACTATTCCAGGGTTTGCCTGTCATTTGCAATTTTTTTGTGTTTTAATCATTTCCTATTTAACATACAATTCTTTGTTCCAGGAATGCTAACAATTACAGATTTCATAAATATACTACATAGATATTATAAATCACCCATGGTAAGTACCAGAATCCTCGTCTGATCGGAGCTGTGTTCTGTGTATGTGTATAGGGGTTGGTTGTGTGTGCATTTAAGATTTGCGGTGGAGGGAGGGAGGGGGCGGGGGAGGGGAGGAGGGGGCGGGGGAGGGGGCTGAGAGATGGTACAGGGGTGGTGCTGGTGGTTGATTTTTCCAAATATATATGATGTGCAGGAACCTCTGTGTAAATCAGTCATATGTTTAAGCCTGAAGAAGGTCGCCTCAGGAAAATGAAAGGCTGTAGCATCTTTATTCAGCTTTCAGGAGTTCCCGGAAGTGGACTTCCATGCGCTGACTTCTTGCCTAGATGTTCTGTAGGTTTCACTAAATGTATGACCTGGAACAGCATATGGGCACGTTGTCATAGAGACGCAGCCTGGGCCCTGACTGAAGGCGGCCCCGGCACCACTCCTGTCTGATGGCTGTCACCAGTGACAACCTCACTCTGAGATGAGAATACCATGGGGCTCGCTTTCATGGCCTGTTGATGGGAGTGCAGCTTCATGTACTTACCCCAAAATTCTGTAACAAGAACGATATGTATTCTGTGGTTTAAGAAGTAAAAGTTAAAATGGAAGAAATTTAACTGACATTTTCCTGCCAGTTAAAAAAAGACTTCTGGGGTTCATTTTTGTGGCACAACACCCTGGGCCCTGGCCCTGGCCCCGCTGTTCTGTAAGACAAGAGTGGCCGTTAACACTCTGACTACGTGATTCTACCAGCTTGTTTGGTTTTTGTTGTATTGGGGGAGGGGTTGTGTGTTTTTATTATTGTTTTTTCTTTGTTTTTTAATTGACTTTATTGGGGTGACATAGGTTAATAGAATTATATAGGTTTCAGTTGTACAGTTCTATAATACACCATCTGTATATTGTGTTATGTGTTCTCCACCCCACGTCAAGTCTGCTTCCATCACCATTCCCCCCACCCCTTTGCTCTCTTCTACCACCCCTTACCCCCCTGTTCCTCTGGTAACCACCACATTGTCGGCTGTCTATGAGGTTTTGTCTGCTTGTTTTGGTTAATCCCTTCACCTTTTTCACCCAGCCCCCCAACCCCTCTCCCCTCTGGCACCCGTCAGTCTGTTCTCTGTATCTGTGAGTCTGTTTCTATTTTGTTTGTTCGTGTCCACATATAAGTGAAATCATATGGTAGAGGTTGCTTCTGTTTCTGTTTGCACAGGTGGGAAAGGACAGAATTATATACTTTGTTTCTTTAACTAGTACTATTTTGGGAATCTAAAAGGTAAAAGACAATCCAGTTAATACTGTTTTTACATGTAATAGTCAATATTGCTCACTAACTAAATTCCTTCATAAAACGGGAAAATAAGTTTCCTCATAAGACATAACTCTTATAAGGGAAATTTGCCAAAGACTTTGTAGTTATTTCATATGTATTTCACATGATAGATCTGATTTCTTACATACCATCAATGCAGGCAAATAGTGATTTTTTTTTCTTATAATGGTCATCTCTCTGCTTGTGGACTAGCAAAATCACAGAGTATGATTAATAAGTGGATAGATTTTTATTAAGTGCAGCTAATACTTGAGGATACGTTTTTTCTTCACATTTCACCTCATTTTCTTAATTCATACAGAAAAATGCTATTGTGAAAGCTATGGTTTATTTCATTTTCCAAGTATTCATCATTCATATATAAAAACAATTGATTATATATTGACCTTTTATCCTATAAGATTCACTAGTTCTAGGAGCCTTTTTGTGCATTTGTCAGGATTTTTTCTATGCACATAATAATGTCTGCAAATACCATCAGTTGTACCCTATTGAAAAGCCTTTCTTTTTGTCATAAAATTGTTTTACTGCCTTAAGTGTGGATCTGTTGCTATACTCCATTCTGCTCCATTGTTCTACTTGTCTATCTCTTGTACCATAGTCTCTTGGTGACTTAAATAAAAAGCCTGATGGGCCCTGGCCAGTGTGACAAAGTGCTGCAGGTTCGATTCCCGTCAGGGCATGTACAGGAGGCAACTGGTCAATGTTTTTCTCTCACATCAGTGTCTCTCTCTCTCTCTCTCTCTCTCTCTCTCTCTCTCTCTCTCTCTCTCTCTCCCTCCCTCCCTCCCTCCCTCCCTCCCTCCCTCCCCCCCCTTCTTCTCTCTCTAGAATCAGTAAAAAACATATCCTTAGGTGAGGATTAAAACACACACATACACACACACACAAACAAACAAAAACCCAGCTTGCTGGTATTATTGAAAGTCTGTAGATCAATTTAGGGAGAATTGGCATCTTAACAATATTGAGTTCTGCAGTCTGTGAACCTGGCACTTTTCTTGCTTTATTTCATTCATTGGCTAGCACTTCCAGTAGAGCATTGAAGTCATGAGAGCAGGCCTCATTGCCTGTTTCTCATCTTAGAGGGAAAGCATTCTGTATTTCACTGTGAAGCATGATGTTGGCTATAGTTTTTTCATAGATGGCTGTTACCGTGTTGAGGATATTACTTTTCCAGGTTTAATGACAGTTTTTATCATGAATGGATGTTGAATTGTGTCACATGCTTCCTCTGTATCTCCTGAAATTATATTCTTTTTCTCTATTCTCTTAGATACTGTTTCTTCAAATATTTTCCTGTCCCCTCCTTCCTTTGGGGATGACAGTTAGCAGCTGAGACTGTTGTTGTGTAGGGGTTTTTCAAGTGTGTTGTTTTTTCTTTTTAAGTTAGAGATGCTAAGGATCTTCTGTTGTCTCAGAAAGAAGGAATGAGTGGATATGTCCATGTGTGCTTTAAAATTAAAGCGTATCAGAAATTTTCAAATTAACCCTTTGAGTGCCAACCAATATCCTAGGAACTATGCTAAAATTGCCAAGGCATTTTTGCTGATTTTACAGCAGTTTAGGAAAAAAATTATGAATCGCAAGTAAATGAAGTTACATATTCAAAAACTTAAGGAAACCTTTACTGCAAAATCTGAGTAAACTTCATAAAATCGTAGTACCTGTAAAAAATTGGGCAGGTAAGTGCCAGTGGTCGATTTTAGAACTGCAAACATTCGGCATCACAAGTACTCTGCACTTGGGTGCCAGCTGTGAATAGAGTGAACCACTAGCATCTCATAGTGGCACTGCAGCAGGCGCGCGGTGGCGCTCCCGGCACTTCCGGGGAAAGACAGGAGGAGTGCGATCGTGCGCCCCAGCACTCTAGGGGTTAGTGGAAATATATTAGATTTGCTTATTATGTTTTAAATTGACAGAACATTTATCTTCAGAGAAATGTAGAGCATTTTCTTTCTCATTTGTATTTCCAGCATTGGATATCTTGTTTGCCTCTGCTGAATTATAGGAGTCAGCAGCAGTGATGAAATGTTTTCTTACATTAACTTTTGTAAGTAAGAATTTTTTCTTATTTTCAGGTACAGATTTATGAATTAGAGGAACATAAGATTGAAACATGGAGGGGTAAGTACTGTGGGGTATTTAAAATATTTTACTATCAGAAAAAAATGTTCTACTTCGTATATGTTTTAATTTCATAGATCCTTCTCTCTCTGCTTAATGATAATAAATTGCATTAATTAAAACATTTGTTTATATCTTAGTTTTGATAGTATGCCATCCTACTGTGTATATTACCCATTCTGTTTAATAGAAATGTATAGAGAACCTGTAGCAGGTCTTTATACTGAACCCAGGAATGAGTAAGTTAACCAGCACCCACATCTCTGCCCCCAATGGAGCCACCATTTCAGTACGAAGTATTACCCCCCCCCCAAAAAAAAATTTGCCTTTGTATGGAAAATGCACCAAAGGAATGCCTAAGATTAACAAGAGCAAGGATCTGTTCTTAAAGTTAATAATTATTTCTTTACCAATTATGGAGAAACATAGAACAAGTGAACCTTGAACTAGATGATTGGGATCAGATAACATGAAAATAATGTCACAATTGCTTCGTTTTGTTTGTAACATTGAAATTCACCCTTTATAATCACAGTACCCTTTCTGAAATGGGGCCACTTCAAGTTGCACAGTTGTGAAACTGTTCTGTCAGTGGATTGGAGGGGGGCGGGTGGCAAGGACAGTCAGCAGGAATACCATAGATACAGGGCTGGTGGGAATCACTGAGGGAGCCTTGGGGGGTGGGGGGGGGTGAACTAGAGAGAAATGGAGGGACCAGTTGAAAGAAAATTTTGAATTTAAAATTGAAATTTCGCTTGGTACTTCCCATAATCTGCTTGGTATGATAAGCAACCTTTGTGCCTAGCTGTGAAGTGTGGACATTCGTTAGAATTCTCTAAAGGGCTAGGGCAGTGGTCGGCAAACTGCGGCTCGGCAAACAGCGGCTCACGAGCCACGTGCGGCTCTTTGGCCCCTTGAGTGTGGCTCTTCCACAAAATACCGACTTCTGCGCATGGGCCACAAAGTTTCAATCGCACTGTACGTGCGCGCCCGCACATGGTATTTTGTGGAAGAGCCACACTGAAGGGGCCAAAGAGCCGCATGTGGCTCGCGAGCCCCGGTTTGCCGACCACTGGGTTAGGGGACTGTTAATGCCATGTGATTTGGAAGTTCCATTGCATGGTAGATTTGATTTATGGTGGCGTTATCAATTCAGAGTAAACAAAGCCGGCATGGGATCCATATCTCAGCACTGCCTATGATGATGTGAAAATGCATATAACTTAACACCAAGACAGTCACTTCTTGTCAAATTCTACCGTATAAGTCATCTTACACCAGGTTTAAGTGTATATACATTTTAACATTACATGGTTATTCAGCAGTAATAACAATGTCGACACGTCCTTGCATGCCTTCTGTATAGAAACCTCAGTAAGTTCATTAGTTCGTCTTTACAAAGAGGATTTCTACGCCAGAGAGCTTCCCCGGGATGCAGTGAATTTTGAGCATTAGTTTGGTAAAATCAAACGTAATAACATTTCGGGAACAAAGTCTGTTTAGCTTCCATTTTTTAACGTGAGAAAATTAGTTCTGAAGGGCTGCGTTCGCGTTCCCGCTCCTGAGGGGGCAGTGTCCCTGCAGCAGCCAGTGCCCCTGCCGGCCTCGCTCTTGTCCGATTTCTTCTCATCTTTACAGCATCTCTCGTAATACCATTTTTAAATATTTAATTTGTCCACAGCGGCAACATCCAGCTTGAGAGTGACTTAAAATAGCCATAACTATAATTAACACGATAGTTTTCGGTCAATGAAACTTGATTTGGGTCTTTAACTATTACCTACAAATTGAAGGGTATTTTAATTTATGTAATAATTGCAAACAGCAAACATGTTACTAATTACATCTTCTCTCTCTGTAAATACAGAGCTTTATTTACAAGAAACATTTAAGCCGTTAGTGAATATACCTCCAGATGCAAGGTGAGCATGGGCCGTCGTTCTCCTTTGAAAACATTCACTCAGATCCGTCTGTTTTGTCCCGATGATTGATTGGTTAATAGACTTTTCTTATCTAGATAAGGGCCAGCCTCCTTAATTCCAAATATTGAATTCAGTAAGTCTAGAGATAATAAAAATCACAGCGACTATTGATGGAAGGGATTGATCATGGACTAGGGAGCTGGTCGTACTAAGCAGTGTTAAAATCCAGGTCGCCTGCAGCAGAAGTCCTGTAGGGAGCTCGTTAGGACTGCAGGCTCCTGGCTCTGCCCCACCTGTGAAACGGTCCCTGGGAGTTGCCAGGAATGTGAGCTTGCTGACGTGCTGTGGAGCTGAAAAGTCAGTCTCTCTCAGCCATCGGTCCCGAGGGGGCCCGGAAGAAGGGCTGCCCTCTCCAGTCTTCCCGCCCAGACATTTTTTTACCAAGCCTCTGCGATGGCTCTCGTCCATTTCCACGCTTATATAGAAGCATCCTTACCTCTAGAACCCCAGCGAGAAAAAGTGGAAGGTTGATTTTTAGTATTTTTATTTCCAAATCCCAACAGACACACCTACCATGCCTCCTGGTTGGCAGTCACAGGAGAGGCCAGAGCTGCCCAGAAGCAGCTGGCCCAGCAGGAAGCAGCCAGCGGCTGGTCCAGGCCTGCCCCCCCCCCCCCCCCGCCCCCAGCTGCCTCTGCCGCTGGTGGTGTCGCCCGTTAGCTTTCCTGGGGGTTGGCGTCTGTCATTTCTCAAATAAAAGCAGTAAATGTGCTTCTAGAAAACCGCCAGAGATTTGTAGCTCACACTTGTGTTTGAGATTTATTAGCACAGATTGCGGGGGGGAGGGAACCAGAATATTTACCGAGATCTCCAGTTTAAAACTTTCCCAAGCCACTGTTACAAGTCATTCGACCTCTTGTGATTGTAATATAAAAACACTGGAAATGCTTGGAAAGCAGGGGTGGTCCAGAGCTTTCTAATCTGTCCTGAAAGCCTCCTAACAACTTTAATGGCTTTTCCCACAGCCTCTTCGATGCTGTAAACTCGTTGATCAAAAATAAAATCCACAGATTGCCAGTTATTGACCCTATCAGTGGGAATGCACTTTATATACTTACCCACAAAAGAATCCTCAAGTTCCTCCAGCTTTTTGTAAGTAGTTTTTAGTGTTTCTAAAGACATAGCTGCATCTACTTTATAACTAGTTTACTTCAAGTAAATTGGGTCCTGTTGCCCTCCGTAGCAGAAATCGTTAGTTGTGAGGTCTCCATTTCTAAACTTCAGTTTCTCAACTCACTGCTGTTTGAATTGTACATTCTCAAACGTTGATTCCAATTAAAAAGTATCCAAATAATAAAAACACTCGGAATTCTCTATTTAAATTAGAATATTTTATCACCTAAAATATTCTAATTTGCAAGTCAGTCTAATTAAGGAATTGCTACACAAGATAAATTGGGCCAATATTTATAGCACATTGCCGTACTCTGCTTTATTGGGATCGTGGTTTTGGAAACATATATTCAAAAAGAACTGTCCCCAGAATTAGCTTATTAACGGCAGCCATGAGAGGAAAACCCAAAGCACATAAAATTTTGGCAAGAGAATAATACCATGTTGGTCCAAATTAGGGCTGTGTCATCTGTAAGTTTTCTCCGCTGCATTTGGAATGAAATGGTTTCATCATCATACAAAGCTTAGACCCTCTTCGGTCGGCAGGTTTCAAAGAGGCTCAGAGGGACCGAGTGTTCACAAGAGGGCTTTAAATTTGTCCTTTTAATGATAGGCACGGAATTTGATTTTTTCCTGTTAGGACATGCACTGAGTTTGATGTCACAGGCAATTGGTCAGCCAGAACCAGTAGGCGGCTTCATTCATGGTTCAGGAGAGATCGCTTGAAGAGGTTTTTTTTTAAAGAAGGTACTAGACATCAACAATGTGCCTCCGATTAGCTCTCCCATTCCTTACCCAGCTTCAGTAAGGCAGTGGATGGCGCTCTGGAGTGGGGAGCACCTCCCACCTCTGCTGGACAGAGCACCGAGGGTGCAGTCACTGGGAGAAACTCCTGTCCATCAAACCAGTCCCATATTTTAATAGTTTACGTGGAAAAGTAACACTCTTCATGTTTAAAGTAATGCTAAGGAAGAAGGCAGGAAGGAGAAGAGTCATTTACAAGAAGGCATGAGGTTTGGTAGAAAGCTGGTCCAGGGAGGAAGAATTGGAGACATGTAGGTGCTACGTTGGCCAGACCTGACCTCAGATGAGCTGGGAACAAAGTCACCTTCGCAATGAGCGTTCACAGGACGGGGTGGGGCGGGCACGAAAGGCCCACAGGCCCGACCGAGCCCAATTGGCCCCTTCCAGGCAGCATTCTAAAGCAGTTCTAATCCCAAGAGCTAAATACTGTTAAGCATTTACAATAAGGTAGGCACTGTCCTACGCAGGTCACAGGATGAATCTAATCTCACCACCACCCTCTCAGGTAGGTATTTTATTAATCCCATTTATAAGTGATGAAACCCAGCGAGGCTGAGTGACTGCCACCGTCACTGCTGGCAGGCCGCCCAGCGGCCTTTCTCGGCCGCTGCTTCCCCTGACCCCGACCCCACCCCCGAGTCCAGGGACTCCGAGGCCCAGTGGTCGGCTCCGGCACCTTCCGCGGCTCCGCTGCCTTGGGAAAGGATCAGCAGTTTGAGACGGGCCTCTGGTGTCTTCTCCTCTAACAATACCAGAGGAGGTTGCCTCTGCTGGTACCGCCTTGTATTTGGGCCAATATGGTAATTAGAGCCGTGCTAGGAGAATAGCCGAATAGCTAGAGGTTTTCTGATCAAAATACAGAACTTTAAAGAAGTTTCAAAACCTGACTTTCACTGAACTGTGAGCTCATTTTTGAGAAAAGGGAGTGTTCCCCTTGGGGACATCTGACGTCAGCCGAAGCGCACAGTGTGGAACGGGTTATCCTGCATCACCGCGGGCTCGATGACCTAATAGGGCTTTCTTTTTCTCTCTGAATTTCTAGGAGTCTCATGATTTGAATATTGATGAACTCTTTGACTTGAACATTTTGTTTCTTCTAATTGTTCATCTTTCCCGATAATTATAAGGTACTCCAGGAGGATGGAATCAGCTACACCCTGTATAAAAGGTGGACTTTTGAAACCATAGACCCTATTTTGTTTTAATCACACGTGACCCTAGACTTCTCTCTTCTGACTTCTCCCTCCTCCGCTAAAACAGCCGTGAAAAAGAGAAAAGTTCACTATTTTTAAATTCTGTTCAGTTGGCTTGTCCTTTACTCCTAGTTGACGGAAACTGGAGTTCTCCGGAGGGGAGTTGGGTGTGAGTGGAGGCGGATGGTGTGAGGACGAGCTTGCAGCTCGGACAGCCACCGTCAGACACTGGGTGTGGACATGTGTGGGCTCTAATAAGTATCACCTAGTGAGGGCCCCGGAGCAGGGGTTTCCCACAAATACTTACAAATAAGGATTCTTGGTGGCTTCTGGGCCTTAACTTCCAAAGAGACCTGTTGTTCCCTTCCATCCTCTTTTCAGTGGGCAGAGAGAAGGGGGAAATGTTACACTGTTGGTACTTTGCGATATTTTACTAAGTAGTTAGAGATACTGGACTTAAACTGGTTTGAACAAAAGACAGTTCTTAGAGTCACATTTTCGTATTGACTGAGATTGTTAGACAACACTGGCTTGACTCTGTCGCGCTAGTTTTTCATTCGTGTGGGTATGTGAGCGTGAAGAAGGCCTGTTTGGGTCTAGAGCGTTTGCACTTGTCCTCCCGTTCAGATGTCCGATATGCCAAAGCCCGCCTTCATGAAGCAGAACCTGGACGCGCTGGGAATCGGGACTTACCACAACATCGCCTTCATCCACCCCGACACGCCCATCATTAAAGCCCTGAACGTCTTCGTGGAGAGACGAGTGTCCGCCTTACCTGTTGTGGACGAATCAGGTCTGTTTGGCCATAAACAGAAAAACTATTTATCTCAGTGAAGTTACTGTCAGATGGCCTCGCCCCGGAGACAAGTGGGGGAAATGAACATTTAGACGTGGTGAATAAATTCAGCCCTGAGGAGCACTCAGGATAATAAGAACTTTAAACTGCATATTCTCACACTTTCCATTCATACAGGATTTCACGTTCATTTAAAAATAGACACGCTCGTTCTATTTAGCAATATGTAATTCTTAACCACGGCCCAGTTAAGATTGATTTTAAATGTTGTTTTTTTTGTTCCTAAGATACTTCTCTAACATATATTTTCATTTTTAGGGAAAGTCGTAGATATTTATTCCAAATTTGATGTAATTGTAAGTATTTTTAATTTTGTTAAACCTGTCATCTAAAATGCATTTAAAACATACTAATTCGTTTTTGTGGTTTTCCATCATGTAATGACTTCTAGCTTTTTGGAGTGTAAAGATCTTATCAGAGAATTCGTAGAGGCCCTGTAGTAATTGTACTTTTAATAGTCATTGGTTTAGCAATGAATAATATACTAGCGGTATTTTATAAATCTCCGTCTTTTCAGTACATGTATAGTCCATCTCCACAGCGTGCGTATATATTTTAAATGGTCTTTGTTCTATGTGGAGATGTTGTTTATTCCACCAACGGGCACGTGTTTAGTGCATCTGAACTTAGTGCACGTGAACTTGTAGTCACGTGCGTCCTGTTGTTTGATGATTGGGGACAACTGTCCTAAAGAAGACAGCAAATGTACCAGATAGTTACGTAAATCCCACGTGCATCCTGGCTTAAATCTAGGTTGAGTTCGGTGCTCCACCTTCCCACGTGATGCTTTTTTTCTTGTTCATTCGAAATGGACTTCCTTAGAGCCTTCCATTCCTTCTAAGAATGGGAACTGAAACTTGGCGGTGCCACATGTGCGCATCATGGGGGCCGTCACATTGACCCCAGCCTTGAACACTCCTTTGCAGCTGCCCCAACGCCTCTCTTTCATCCTATTCTGTTTAACATAAGAGACACCAGAAAATCCGGCCATTGGAACTTGGCTGCGTGGGGTCTGCTAAGGTTCATGAGAACCCGAGGGGCTCCTAAGGAGGGTCCATCGACACTTCCTCACCCGACCCTAGTCCGACTCTCAGAAGACGACTTATTCAGGAGGGGGCCTTGGTGGGGAGGGGATACCTTTAGAGCAGTGGTTCTCAACCTTGGCTGCACATCAGAGTCACCTGGGAATCTTTTTAAAATCCTGATTTCTGGGCCTCGTCCTCCGGAAATTCTGTTTCTTTGTTACTAATGTTGTGGCCTCACCTCATAACAAAGAAACAGAATTTCCGGAGGATGAGGTCCAGAAATCAGGATTTTAAAAAGATTCCCAGGTGATTCTAACGTGCAGCCAAGGTTGAGAACCACTGCTTTAGAAGGACATGCAGTCAAATTAACAAAGTCGCTCCACCATTAAGGTCCGCCTTGTAAGCTTTAATGATCACTGCGACGACACATTACAAGCTGGTGTGCTGGTACTGAATATGCATGGATGTGTTTAAAATCAGGTGGCTTTAAACTTACTAATCGCGGTCACTCGTGTGAACTTAAATGAAAGCATGTAATGCATTCTGATTCTTTATTACAGAACCTTGCTGCTGAAAAAACATACAATAACCTAGATATCACCGTGACCCAGGCACTTCAGCACCGTTCCCAGTACTTTGAGGGCGTGGTCAAGTGCAGTAAGCTGGAAATATTGGAGACCATTGTGGATAGAATAGTAAGAGCGGAGGTGAGATGGCTGTTCCACATTCCTTTCCCCCACCCCACCCCCCAAGTCATACGAGCTGTAACCAGTGAATGGCGCCTCCGGAATTGTGAACCTCAGGACCAGCCCATGGGGCCACCTTCAAGTTCGGTCGGAGGACACAGTTTCCCTGTTCCAGAACCTAGCATGTTACCTGGCACATAGTAGGTCACCTGTAAATATTCATTGAATGCAATTTATAAGTCCCGATATCAAGTAAACTGGCAAGGTACTGCCATGGTTTAAAAAATACATACTGGAGGAAACAGGTTTCAAGAGCTTCAAGTTCCATAGGGTATTTACAAATCAAAAGTTAAAAAGATGCAATTATATGGTTTTAACAAAGTAAATAATAAAATGTATTCTGATTTTTTCAAGTTAAAGGAATTCCACCCCCCCACACACCCCCCAGTACCTCCCTCCCGATTTAGGTACATAGCAAATGTCTAGTAACCCTGTCTCCTGACCCTCAGCACTCATGTCCCGTTATACTTACTGCCTGTAGGGTTTTCAAGTATAAGGGGACATGAGTTCCGAGGGTCAGGAGACGAGGTTACTAGACGTTTATCTAACTCAGTATGCCCATTCCTAAAATCATTCTTCTCCTTCCTTGTTAGACAGGGAGAGGAATGTTCTCCTGTTCGTCACTCTAGGACTGAAGGATGCAGCTATGTTCCTTTTAGAACAACCCCTAATTAAGCAAAATCAATTCATGACGAAAAGTCTGCTTTGATGATTATCATAAATGCAAGAGCTCAGTCCAAGAATAAAAGTACCTGATTATTTTATAGGCTCATAACAGGCGACTAGCTTGCTTTCTGAGAGCTTGGTGTGAAGCAGGGCGCAGTGCTCCATCCTGGGAGCCAGCCTGCGGAACCCACCCAGCCCTGCCCCCTGTCCGCCTCTGAGGTGACTCCCAGCTCCAACTGTCACGGCTGGCAGTGTGTCACTCGAATCCCAATATGAAGTCTTCCCTTTTTCTTTTCTTTTTTAAAAATATATTCTTATTGATTTCAGAGATGCAGGGAGGAGAGATAGAAACATCAATGACAGAGAATCATTGATCAGCGGAGTCCCCAACCTGGGGATGTGCCCTGACCAGGAATTGAACTGTGACATCCTGGCTCATAGGTTGATGCTCAGCCACTGAGCAACACTGCCTGGGAGAGTCTTTCCTTTTTCTACCTGAATTTAATACCAATCACCACTTGTTTTGCAGAGGGGTTTAATTGACTTAGGAATATATCTTAACTTTATTATTAATGTCCTTAGAATTGTGTGCCTTTTGAAGATCATAATCAGAAATAGGTAAGGCATCCTTCCTATTTATAAGCACAATGGACATCCAAATGGTGGAATCCTTTAAATGATAAAAATTCATGTTGAAGAATTTTGATGCTATAGAAAAACATTAACAGAATATTGCTAAGAGGAAAAAGCCCATTACAGTACTACGTAACAGCATGACTCTTTGTGTTAATACACATCCATCTACATAGAAAAGCAGCCAGAAAGACTCCCACCACAGCGGTAACAGGGACTGCTTCCGGGGGACAGAGTTCCGGCTGCGCCAGGCTCCTCTGTGTCCCTGGCTCTCTGTGAGCACCTGTCACGTCAGGTAGAAGAAAAGGTACCTGGCCAGTCCTAGAAGTTCATCTGGTGAACAAAGAAACTTCATTGTCGTATGAAATAGGCCATTGAGGAAAATATGGAATTGACCCGTTTTCTCAACTTTCCTCATTAAAATAATTCTTTCACCAGGTGACTTCTCAGTGGGGGACAGAGACCAGTTTTCAGCTTCGGTATAGTTTGTTAGGAGACGGGTTTGCAGTACCAGCGATGGCATTGCTCCAAAGGAGACGTACATATGGACAACAGACATACGAAAAGATGCTCAACATCATTGATCAACAGGGAAATGCAAATTAACCCACAATGAAATACCACTTCACACCTGTCAGAATGGCTAGAACCAGAAAATCAATAAACAACAAGTGTTGGCGAGAATGTGGAGAGAAGGGAACCCTCTGGCACTGTTAATGGGAATGTAAATTGGCACAACCACTGTGGAAAACAGTTTGGAGGCGCCTCAAAAATGTATAAATAGAACGACCTTATGAGCCAGCAATTCCACTTCTAGTATTTATCCAAAGAAAATGAAAACACTAATTTGAAAAGATATATGCACCCCATGTGTCTGTAGCATTATTCACAACAGCCAGAATGTAGAAGCAACCTCAGTGCCCATCGATAGATGAGTGGATAAAGAAGGACATAGATACAACGGAATATTATTCAGCTGCCAAAAAATAAAAGCCATGAAAGCCTGCCGTCTGTGACAACATGGGTGGACCTAGGGAGTACTATGCCGGGTGAAATAAGTTAGAGAAACACAGACACCGTATGATTTCACTTACATGTGGACTCTAAAAAAATAAACAAATGGATAAATAAGACAGGAAACAGACCCATAGGTATAGAGAACAAGCTGATAGTCGCCAAAGGGGAGAGGGCTGGTGGACAGCAACAAAAAAGACAAAATATAAAAACAACTTCCCCCTCTTCCCTTCTCCTCCCTGCATCCCCATTTTGCACCGGGGGACCAGGGTGCTAATGGTTCCGTATGGAGAAGAGGGTCTCCGAAGGAACTGACAGTAGGAAGTTCTAAAGCTTTTCAATCTGAGACGTGGGGTGTTCTCCTTCCTTTCTGCTCTAAGGGTGCTTCGCTGTCGTAATACCTCAGGACATGGCCCACCTGTTTATAAAAGACTTTCAAGAAGAAAAAGAGACATGACTGTAACCTACTTTGCTTTACTATTCATTTATCCTCTGAGTATTATTAATATATGAACTTCATAGAAACATGATAAAAAAGTAAAAAACAGTCCCAGGGCGGTGGCCTGTTACTGCTCATTGGGACTTTTCCCACGTGAAACAGAATCTGATAGTTGTGAGAAACGGAGATACTTTTAAAAATAAAAACTGTTTAAGAGACTATGATAGCTACATTGTACTTCATGTTTTGAGTTGTATCTTTCATATGCTAATATTGTGAAATTTGAAAACTCAGCTGGACATGGCTGGCTAAATTGTTCTTAAAAGTAGTCAGGCATGCCCTTAGCCGGTTTGGCTCAGTGGATAGAGCATCCGCTTGTGGACTGAAGGGTCCCAGGTTCAATTCCGGCCAAGGGCACATGCCCAGGTTGCAGGTTCAATCCCCCAGGAGGGGATGTGCAGGAGGCAGCCAATCAATGATTCTCTCTCATCATTAATGTTTCTCTCTCCTTCTCCTTTCCTCTCTGAAATCAATAACATATATATATATATATATATATATATATATATATATATATTTATTTATTTATTATTTTTTTATTTTTTTATTAAGTAGTTAGGCAGTCCTGGCCATTGTGGCTCAGTTGGTTGGGTGTCATCCATGCACCAGAAGGTTGCTGGTTGGAGTCCCGGTGAGGGCACATGCCCGAGTTTCGGACTCAATCCCTGGCAGGAGGCAGCCGAAGGATGTTATGTTCTCACATTGATGTTTTTCCCTTTTCCTCTCTCTCTAAAAATCACTAAAAGTTTAAAATTTAAAAAAAAGTAGTCAAGCAGATCAGCACCGCATTTGAGCTTCAGAGCCAAAGACCTTTCCATGTTTCTGTATGCTGCTACTTTCTGTGATTTGTGGGATGGATTCACTGTAGAGAATGTGAACGATATTTTTTTTCCTATTTTCCATTTTAAGGCGTTTTATTTAACTTGCTTATGTGGCCTCCTTTTCTCTTGTTCGCAGGTCCATCGGCTGGTGGTGGTGAATGAAGCAGATAGTATTGTGGGTATTATTTCCCTGTCAGATATTCTGCAAGCCCTCATCCTCACCCCACCAGGTACAGAGGCCGGTTCTGACCTTCACCTCCTGAGACAGGAAGGGCACAGGGGCTGGTGGGTGTAGGACCCCGACAGTCCCCCCACTATTAGACGTGTGCCACAGAAGGAACACGTTTCCTCCGGAGGGGGGCTTCTGTGCGTTCCTCTGTGAACCATTTTCTTTTCCTTTGTGGTTGTGAAGTTTTATTCTTCCGCTTGAGCAAGAGAAAAGTTTATCGAAAGCAGCCTGACTCGGCCCCTCTGCCCAGCAGTGCCCGAGTAATCGAGGATTCATTGCCAAGGTCTTCAGGACCTTTTCCACTAAAAAGCTAAGGCTCTTCAGTTTTGCTTTCTTTTTAGGACTGCTAACTGGAAAACAGGAGGGAAATTCTCTGGGTTCTAACTATTGACACCATCTACACTTCACAAACAAATGACTTTCTAGTGTGTTGAGTATATAAAACAAAAGACATAACAGACTTTTTTCCATGAAGAGTGCATGGAAATCACATTAACTGCCAAACAGCACCGATGGCTAAACTCATATTTGCCAGATTCGCTCTGAGCCTGCCCTCAGGTCCCAGCCGGGAGCGTGCAGGGGGGCGCAGCCTTGGAAAAGAGTTCGTGTTCCTTCTGTGGCACACGTTTAATAGTGGGAGACTGTAGGGGTCCTAACCCCACCAGCCCCTTTCCTTTTCTTTCCCCTCCTCCCCTCCCTGCCCCCAAATACAGACAACCCAGCCCTAGCTGGTTTGGCTCAGTGGATAGAGTGTTGGCCTGCATATTGAAGGGTCCCAGGTTCGATTCCGGTCAAGGGCACATGCCTGGGTTGTAGGCTCAATCCCTAGTAGGGGGTGTGCAGGAGGCAGCCAGTCAATGATTCTCTCTCATCATTGATGTTTCTATCTCTCCCTCTCCCTTTCTCTCTGAAATCACTCTCTATATATAAAAGCCTAAGTGACCGAATGACCGGTTGCTATGATGCACACTGACCACCAGGGGAGAGATGCTCAATGCAGGAGCTGCCCCTCGGTGGTCAGTGCGCTCCCACAGCCAACCTCCTGCGGCCCCTCCCCCTGGCCAGCCTACCTCCTGCAATCCTTCCCCCTGGCCACCCCCCCTTGGCCCTGATGGGGGGGGAGCAGGGGGCGGCCGGCTGGCCAACCTCCCACGGTCCCTCCCCCCAGCCAGCCAGTCCCCACCCCACCCCCTATCTGCCCCGATCACCAGCCAGGCCGAAGGACCCCACCTGTGCATGAATTTGTGCACCAGGCCTCTAGTAAAAATATATTTAAAAAAAATACAAACCCAAAAAAAAAAAAATACAAACCCAGCTTTGGGCCGCACAGACCAAGTCCAAGAACGCTAAGACAGGAGATAAGAGACATGCACTTTGAACTCTTTTTTTTTTTTTTTTTTTTCACTTTGAACTCTTAAAAGTTAAACATTCAAGTGTGTGTACTACGTTACGGTATTGATTTTTTCTTTCATTCAGAAATCAAACTAGCTGAGACTAGTTCTTACAGTTGACCTCTCACCTAAAGCTGCCGCCCTTCAGGAGCCCCACCGCCCACGAGAAGGCATCGCATCCCTTGAGCGGGAGCCCCAAGGTTGTGATTCCAGTAGGGCAGGGACGCACGAGGCCCAGGGCAGCAGCAGCACCAGGGCTCGTCAGAAATGTCCCCCGAGGCCCCCACGCCTTCCGAATCAGAAACCAGACATGGGGGCTGGTGTGGTCACTTTAAAATTTCAGATATTAGGGAACATGAAGCTCATGATAATCTTTATAATCATGAGATGTTGATAAAAAGAACAAATGAATGTGAGATTGTTCATAGCATTAAACTCAAGCTGGAAACAAGCCGGGTATCCTTGAGCAGAAGAATGGACGGATTTGTTCTGTTCGTGCAGTGGAATGCTACGAGCAGTGGCCGTGAGCCGCAGCTGTGTGGGCAGCGGACAGCCCTCGGAGGCAGCGTCCAGCCGAGGAGCTGCCCACCAGAGAGGGATTACTCGTACAGACGGCCGAACAGCCCTTCCTGCAATCAGGAAGAGGCCCCCTCTCTGGGCAGAGCATCCATGTGGGCACAGAACCTGGCAGCTCAGAGAAGGGCACCCTCTCCGGGTGGAGCAAGGCCCTCGGCTGTCCCTGCAGCCAAGATTCGTTGTGCATCGCAGACTCAGAGTAAACAGTGCAGCTCTTCATCCTCTGTGTGCCTTCGTGTCTTGAACCATGAGCACATTGGGCTGGATGGGTTTAAATTTCCATCCAGATTTGCTGTTTCAAAAACTTAAGTCATTAATGCTCCTCTGTGGAGAGGGACCCGCCGTGCAGCGGGAATTGGAAACGTCTGTTACCATAGAGGTGATGGGGTAAAGACAGGGGTAGCCGAATTAGAATTCTCTATTATATAGAGTGCATAATGCCATCTGTTTAAGAGAACGCACTGTGTTCCTATAAGGACAAGCGAACACCGGGAGCAGACCTGTCAGAACGCAGGGGCTGCCGGGACAGGTCAGCAGCAGGGCCTGATGCTCCCGTGCGTGGGAGCAGCCTGCAATAAGCATCCCAGGGCCTGGCTGGTGAGCCCCGCCCGGGACCCCTGAGAGCTGTGGGTGTGGGCCAGCCGCTCGCCTCATGAGGCCCCTCTGTTCCTTCAGCTAGAAATGAGCAGGCCGATACAGGCCCTCGGTCCCTTCCAGGGTGCTTGGAGTTGAAACCAAAACCGTGAGTGCAAGCTGTTGGTGCACAGTAAGGCACCATCCCCAGGAGAGCACTGTTGGGTGGATGTTTATGGAATAATCAGGCACTTTTTAAGCTTCCACTATTACATGAATAAGAGGTGCCAGAGTCCTTCTTCTCACCAGATAATGGGCGCAGTTCCCCATGCAGGATACTGATACAATATAATGACATTGTCTCTCTCAAAAAGCTAGTTCATTGTCACACTTAACTCAGACTCCCCAAATGAACCTAAGTGTCTACACATACAACCAATGAGTCAGCAGTCAGAGGGCATTAGCCACAATTTCTTAGTCCCTTATTTATTTTTATTTTTTGTTAATCCTCACCCCGAGGGTATTTTTTTCATTGATTTTTAGAGAGTAGAAGGGAGGGAAGGAGGGAGGGAAGGAGGGAGGGAAGGAGGGAGGGAGGGAGGGAGGGAGGGAGGGAGAGAGAGAGAGAGAGGTGTGAGAAAGAGCATCAGTTGGTTGCTTCCCACACACCCCTCAGGGGCCAGGGAGGGAACCTGCAACCCAGGTACATGCCCTTGACTGGGTATTGAATCTGCAACCCTTCAGTGTGAGGGCCGACGCTCTAACCACTGAGTCACACTGCCAGGGTTGGCCCCTTATTTTTTTGTAGATTGTTAATCTCTTTCTAAAGTTGAGTGTCTGCTGAGAAAATAGGAGAGAAGTTGCTGTGATGAGAAAAATAATAACTCTCCCTCCCAACCCATTTTGAAATATCCTGGCCAGATCAAGTTAGTGTTATGTGCAATTATCCTAAACGTGTATAATGCTTTTTTTAAAGACACTTTTATATGTACAATGGAAGTACTTTGCATCTTCATTAAAATGTAAATGCACATTTATTTTACAATCCTTTAGCAGCAGAATCCTCTTCTGAATTAAACCTCGCATATTCAGAATTACAATATGTTATACCGATTGAAAGCATGCTGCGGTCATGGTGGTGGGGGTGGGGGGCCTGGCGCCCACCTGCTCAGTCCCCGCCCATCCACTGCCCGGGACACGGGGACCTTCGATGTGGAGGAGCACGTGCTGTCAGGGGTTTTGATGTCCCTTTGAAACTTTCATTTTCCCTCTCCTGACAGGTGTCAAACAAAAGGAGCCGAAAACTGAATGACTTTTGTGAATGGAGCCCTTGTCGGACTTGAACTAAGATTCCGGGTCACGCTTTGCCTCATGAACACTGATGCCATGGAAGGGAGGAGAATGGCCAAGAATGTATATCAGGGTTTAGTGATGGGTATCTTTTCCAGTGATGTTGAAACTAAGCATAAAAAAAGAGGACTCTATGTTTTTGAAGGTCAGGCTTGCATTAAAAGGCTATTTTCAGACCTCTGTCTGAAAGATTTCAAGTGCTGTATGTCATTAAAGTGCACTGTGTCCTGAAATGTTTATTATTTTTTTATTTCAAAGAATTCACTGGTATGGAACAGGTAACAGGGCATAAGGCAAGTGTGCGGCATACTCAGACCTAGTGCCTTATGTCGGACACGGGCAGGTCGCCACCACGCTGCTCGCGGCCGCTGGCGCGGGGCGCGGGGAAATGCCTGCTGGCGCGTGAGTCTTTGAACCTTTACCAAATCACTTTGTCTTCATTAGATTTGTCCAGCAGTTGTAATTTGATCATAAATAGCTACTTTATAAAACTTTAAGGGCACGTTTATGTTTAAGTGTTCTGAAATGTAGCGTAAACAAGACTACTTACAACAGCTGTATTTATTTTTCCCTTTCATACAGTTTTTTTACACCCCTTTTGGCGGGTAAATGTCACCATGCCCATTGATAAGCCATCAGTTGTTATTTTTAAATGGCAAATTTCTCATTATTTAAGTTTGGGTCTGGAAAGGATGTGGCTCCTAACAGCCACCGTGGGTTTTACAAGCCGAAGCTCTAAAAGCACGCGGGGACCTGCTCTGCTGGGCCGCAGGCGGGCCGCGGCGAGGACGCCGAGAGCCAGGAAGACAGCCGTCTCTCTTGTGCGTGGAATGTAAAACCATGCTGCCTGGGTGACTGCTGACGCGGTGGTTTTGTAAATGTGATTGCGGCACGTACAGTGCTGTCATATGATTGAAGAGAAACACTGTCCTAGTGTAAGTGCTCTGAAAATGCTGACATTGTACATATAAGTATAGTTTTTTGTTTTGTTTTGTTTTGGGGTTTGTTTGTTTTACAGATTGAAAAATTAAAATAAATCTTAACTATAATTTTGTTAAAGGAGTTCTTTAAAATACCACGTGTTTCAGCATATATTAATTAAAATAATATATGCAGTTTCCACTTAGATATTTCTCCCCAAATAAAGGAGCACATGAATTCCCATATCCTTTTCCCATCATCCAAAAATAACCTTAATGATTCAATTCCTCAACTTCACATCTCTCCATTATTAAATAGCACATACAGGGTGTCCCCAAGAAATGTATACACACTTTAACAGCTGATAGTTCAGTTTTGGAAATTAAATGTATTTTAATAAATACTGCCATTATAATTATTCCAAGCATGTGTAGACATTTTTGGGGACACCCTATATTTAATTTAAAACTGCCATGCAGATTTTCTTGTGCTTAGCTTTCAATTTTTCCATTCCTAGTTGGCCAGATATAAGAGGAATGGTATATATGCATAAGCAAATAGACTCCACACACCAAAAAAAACAAAAGACTAAAATTAACAAGTGTGTTTAGCAAAGTTTAAGGATAAGAGATCATCAAAAATCAATTGTATTTCTATATAGCAACAGGCCATCAAAAATGAAAACATTGAAGATCCCATTTATAACAGCACCCAATATAAAATACTTAGAGTAAATCTGATAAAAAGACATGCATAACCTCTACACTGCGAGCCCTGACACTGCTGAGGGAAAATGAAGGCCTAAGTAAGTGGAGTGACAACACTTCGTTCATGAGCCAGAGGACTCACGTTTGCTAAAATGTAAGTCCTCCGAAAATTGACTTACAGATTCAAAGCAGTGCCAGTCAGAATCCCAGCAGGCTTTTCGTAGAAAGTGACAAGCTGATTCTAAAATTCAAAGGAAATGCAAACGACTTAGATTAGCCACGATTCTGGAAAAAAAAGAAAGAAAAAAACAAGGTTGGAAGGATAAAACTATCTGATTTCAAGGTTTATTACATAAAGCTACAGTAAAGTATACTGTTGATGTAAAAACAGACACATACATCAGACCAGATGAGTGTCCAGCAATAGACGCACCCATATACGGGCAACTGAATTTTGGCAAACGTGCGAAGGCAATTCAATGGAGAATGTCTTTTCAACAAATGGTGCTGGAACAACTGGATACAGCAGGTCTTCAAAAAAACATCATGATCGTGTTCATGAGAAAAAAATTGATTCCTGGCCGAGACCACAGTCTGTAGAGTTGGCATGTTCTTCTCTGCATGTTTTTTTCCGGGAACTGGTTTCTTCCCCACATCCATCCCGAAGGTGTGCAGTGAGGTGAACTTCTGTGTCTCAAGTGACCCAGCCTGAGTGAGTGTGTGTAGGGGGTGTGAGTGCACCACTACAACCACGTCACTCACTGAGTCACTAAAAATTGGTAAATCTTGTTTTTATTAATCTTTCTTGAATTATGTATAGCTCACATTTATTTTCATGTTTAATACTAGAAGCATTTTGAGCCTTGATGTTTTTGTTTTGGTGATGTTTTTGTGAGCAGATATATGCCTTAGGAATTTAACTCTTGTTTTTTGTCAATTAGCCTATGGCAATATTGAGTTCCTTATACATCATTTTGCTTAGAATCGCGGTTTCCAAGAACCTATTGATGACGTTGAAGACGTACTGTAGTCACATGCAAAAAAGAATTGTGTTCCATACCTTTCACCACATACAAATATGAAACAGAGCTAAACAGTTTTCAGAAGATACATAATCCAAAAATTTTAAAACATACCCATAATGTCCACTATAAAATAAAAATTACTAGATCTGCCTGGCCAGCGTGGCTCAGTGGTTGAGCATTGATCTATGAACCAGGAGGTGACGGTTCGATTCCTGGTCAAGGCATATGCCTGGGTTGCGGGCTTGATCCCCAGTGTGGGGTAGCAGGAGGCAGCCGATCAATTTTTCTCTCTCATCATTGATGTTTCTTTCTCTCCTCCCTTCCTCTCTGAAATCAATAAAAACATTCTTAAATTACTAGATGTAAAAAGAAATAAATGTATGACCTATAATCAAGAGAAAAGTCATTCAATAAAAGCAGGCCTATAAATGATTTAAAAATAACTGATAAGAATGTTGAAGAACCATCAACAAATCAACAAATGACAGGGCTGACAAGGATGTGGAGAAAAAGGTACCCTCGTGCACTGCTGGTGGGAATGCAGACTGGTGCAGCCACTGTGGAAAACAGTATGGAGTTACCTAAAAAAATTAAAAATGGAACTGCCATTTGACCCAGTAATCCCACTTCTAGGAATATTTCCCAAGAAATCAGAAACACCAATCAGAAAGAATATATGCACCCCTATGTTCATAACAGCACAATTTACAATAGTTAAGACCTGGAAACAGCCTAAGTGCCCATTGGCAGATGAGTGGATTAAAAAAACTGTGATACATCTACACAATGGAATACTATGCTGCTATAAAAAAGAAAGAACTCTTACCATTCGCAACAGCATGGATTGACATGGAGAGCATTATGCTAAGCAAAATAAGCCAGTCGAAGAAAGATGAGTATCACATTTTATCTCACACATTTGTAGAATATAATGAACATAAACTGATAAAAATAAATCCAGAGACAGAGAAGCATTGAACAGATCTTCAAACCTCAGAGGGAAGGCAGGGGAGGGTGGGAGGGGGGTGGTAAGAGATCAACCGAAGGACTTGTATGCATGCATATAAGCACAACCAATGGACACAGACAGTAGGGGGGTGAGGGCCTGTGCTGGGGGGTGGGAGCAGGTGGGAAGAGGTCAATGGGGGAAAAGGGAAAAGTATTAAATATGTAATACTTTCAACAATAAAGAATTTTTTAAAAAGAATGTTAAAGAACCTACAAAAAACATGGGTATGTTGGGTAGAGATGGGAGAATTTTAGGAGAGAGATGGAAACTATAAAAGAACCAAATAGAAACCCTAGAACTAAAAAATATGTTATCCAGATTTTTAGAAATCATTAAATTAGAAAGGGGAAAACAGAGACAAGAATAAGGGCTCTTTTGGTAGAAAGCTATCAAACTGTCCAGTATATATGAAATTGGGGTCCCAGAATGAGTGGAGAAAGAATATGGGGCAGAAAAAAATACTTAAAGAAATACAGGTTGGGAAGTTTCCCAAAGTGGATCAAAACCAGTAACTCACACATCAGAGAAAGTTAGTAAACCTTAAACAGCATAAAAGCCAAGAAAACTACACACAAACACATCAGAGTCAAACTCTGAACACCAAATATAAAAGGAAAATCAAAGCAGACAGGGAAAGGTATGAATATATCACATGAAAAACAGGATAGCTGGTTTCTATCAGAAAAAAATTGAGGCCAGGAGAAAATGGAACATGTTTAAGGACAAACATACACACACATACATACACACCACTGTCTACCTAAAATTCTATATCCAGCAAAAAAGAATTCTTCAAAAATGAGAAATAAAAGTACATGAGGGGTATCTTTTTGGTGATGGAACAGTTATGTAGTTTTGGTTACACAAATCACATGTAATAAAATTGAACAGAGTTACACACACACACACACACACACATACACACACTAATGCATGTAAAACTGGTGAAATCTGAACAAGTTCTGTGGGTTGTACGACTTTGAGTCTCTTCTGTACTGTATTTAGGTAAGATGTCACCATCCAGAGAATAGGACATGGGAACTCTATTATTTCTTGAAGTACCTACTAATCTATAATTATTTCAAAATAAAAAGTGGAGACATAAAATAAAGACAATTTTCAAATACATCAATTGTAAATTTGTTGCCAGGAGACCACAGGAAATTCTTCTGCAGAAGGAACTAGTACAGCTTAGCCCTGCAGTCTGCGAGGGCGGCCCACACTGACTTCCTCCTAAAGAGAACCGTATGGAAAGGGAAGGAGAGAGTGACTTCCTAGTGGAGAAGCCTGACAGACACTCCCTGAGCCAGGTGATCAAGGTCACCACCAACAGTGACAAATCATGCTGGGAATACGTTCCCTTGACAGGATGTGATGAGAATGGCGCTTTACTTCTGTGGTCTTCCTCTTGGAGCCCACGCTCCCACACTAAACCTGAGAACAACTTCAGATGAATCCCGCTTGGAACAATCTATAAAACACCTGACCAGCACGCCTCAAAGCAACCGAAGTCACCAAAAACAAGAAAGCCTGAGCCGGGTGACTAAATGTAAAGTGGTCTTTCGGATGGG